AGGGAAAGAATCTTCATTATGTACAACTGAAAACTTACCCCTGTGCACTAATGTCTTGCTTGTGCTGGTTATGTGACTAGGTGTGAAGTTTAACCTCAAACTTAATAATACACTTTAATGAGAAATAGATCAAACGTATGCTGTAGTTTAAATTTACAAGTCAACTTTAGCTACAAAAGAAACTAAAGCATGTTGGTGGCATGATGCTTATCAGTCCAGATCTAGACATCATCTAACATAGTAAGTGGCTGTATGCCAGGGTATTGGAAGTTCTATAGCAGTGTCCTTTCTTCTTCATTTTAAGTATCTTTATAAATACTTGCATGGATTTTTCATCTCTACTGTGTCAGCTGTACTTAATAAAAAGCGGAAGTTCTGTTGTGTATATAGCTCCTAATTAAAGTACCTATTTTTATAATACTTGCACAACAGCTTAGCTTTTACAGCAGAAAGGGCTCTTTTGACTTGATAAGAAATCTATAAATGAAGATCATAAATGTGAGTGCGATTCAGGTAATTGATATAATTCAGCACTTTACTGTTGATTAATATTAGAATTTATTATGGCACATTAGCCCTGCAAATGTCTTAAAGTGAAGTTCATTTCTGTTGGATAGAATACAGTTTACTTGCAAGTTTAGTGGTCTAGTGTATTGGATATTCTTGACTTGATGTTTCATTTCAGTGGTTGACACTAAGTGTACCTATGGGATTCTTGCTCCAGAAATTCAACAAGTTGATTTAGGCCTTTGTCAGTGATAGAGATATTTAGAAGCCAAATTAATTAGATAAAAGTAAAGTTGTTTTAGGAGGGTCACTTTTATTTTTTAGGTTGATGTTGGAACATTTTGTCATTTGTGAATTAAGCTGGGGAAGAATGTGTTTTGAGAGCGTATAAAAATAGTTCTTCCTTGCTTTTGGGCTGTTTTGGTGTTCCTATTAGTGTATAGCGTGGTGCCTACTAGCTTAGCCATTCTTGGAAAAAACATGGGGATGTTTTTACACAAAGATGTGTTGAAAGCAATGCTGTTTGTGTATTGCTACTTTCAGACTTTAATACTCTGTATTTTGAAGCAACTTTCACCTGTTTGTCCCATGCTGTGTCTACATTGTATGAATTTATGAGAATGAGGAAACCCTGTTAGTTTCTCTTGCAAATATACAAGAGTAAAATTCTATTCAATTGGCTGAATTTCTCTGATTTGTAATGATTAAAACACATGCCAACCAAGTTGTCATTTGTGAGAACAAGTAGTTTGATTTTTGATAAAAAAGGGGTTTTTAATGCTTTTCTAACATTCTGTGTGTAGGGATAATCAATAAATTCCACAATGCTAGAAACGATCCACATTATACTTCAAGTCATAAAAATACATCTTTTTCTATAGGTCACAGAGAAAGGGATTTTTAGAGTTTTATACTCTGAAATCTGTACTGCTCTTTAGTGGTTTTAGTTTAAATTTCTGTCTGTAACTGTCAAATATCCTGTTTAAAATTAGTTGGACATTATTAGTCCAGAAATATAATCTAAAAATTGTTAGCAATTTTTGAATGGAAAGCATTCCCAAAAGAGAAAGCATATCACTATTAAATATATGTAAATCTAGTGAAAATTGCTACAAGGAGGGCTTATTCTGTTAGCTACTCCTTGAAAACAAATCAATTTAATAGGACGTACTGATTTATTGTATGTAGTTCTGTCTAAATATCTACCAATGTGCATCAGTCCTAAAGACTTACCATCTGCATGCAGAAGTTAATTTTTCATGGTGATGAGGCTGTCTGCTGAACTCTTACCTTGCCAGATACTTGTACTTAGGTGTCCAGGTGGATGAGTTTGTGCTTTTAATACCACTTTCTATTTAGCCCTGTGGGTCTACATTACCCTGTTTAAATTTTAGAACAGTTTGGTACAGAGCCTGTGCTGGGTTATGTGTTGGGGATTAGTTCAGGCTTTGCTGATTGGGAGGGAGAGTTGGGACAGCAGGCCTTGTCTGAGATGCTTGTGCCACTAAGGCCAGTGCTAATGGGTAGTAGCAGTTTTGCCCCCTTAGCCCCTGATTCAAGCCAGTTTTGTCTCCACTTCAGTATAGATACCAACTTTCTGGAACAGATTTTTTTTTATTCTTACTCTTGTTACTATTCAGAGGTGGGAATAAGTTTATTTTAGTGAAACATGTTCATGTTAAATGCAGCAGTGTTGCTAGCTGGACTCAAACTGTGGTAAGGACAAGGAACTGAAGAGCATTCAGAACAAAGAACTGTTTTATTTTTGTGGTATTTTTAACTCATTCTTTTCCTGTTCTTCTCTTTTCTTCCTATTTGGGCTTTTTTTCTGATGAAATGTTCTGCTTCTGAGCTACTGACACAGAAAAATGTTGGGAAAACTGCAGAAAAAATTGTATACCCTGCAGAGATGAAACAGGATTTAAAAGTTATTAAACAATTTACAGGTATGGCTCCCTAGAGACAAAGACACTGATACCTCCTTGCTTGTTGAGACGTCTGAAGTTGTATTTTTGGACGTAGGGGATAAATGGTTAAGGCAGTTTTTTCTTCTAATCATCTTTGGTTTCGACTGAAATACTTCAACCAGGAAGATGAAGAACATTCTCGTTAAAAAAATGAAATGCTTTTCTTACCAAATTCTAAAATTGTATTCCTATTTTTGTATCACTTATGCTGGTAACAGGATTCTAGCTGTCTGTGGTGTCTCTGTTCTGTTTGTTAAGTCCAGTGTAAAGATGCTTTCTGAAATGCAAGGCAACAGTGTGGTTAGTTTTCCATATATACTTTACAACAGTCCCTGGATAGGAAGTAATTTTGTGTATTTCCTAAGTCCCCAAACAGCTGCCTTTTAACAACTGTTTTGCAACTGGTTAAAATTAACCTCTTTCCATTTTTACAAAACACTACTTTAAAAAAGGAATAGAGTGCTACAGCAAAATCCTTACAGGAGGATTTATAAAAAGATAAAAACCTTATGAAGAAAAAATGTGCCTCTTAGTTTTTTAACAACTGCAAGGTGACAGTGGGCAAGATATAACTGCTCTTGAAATAGCTTCCTCATGCTTTGAAATACAGACTGGAATGCCTGTTATGCTCTAAAACGTTGATAAACGTGAATAAGTAGACTAAACACTAATTTCTATCTTCTGTCACTCAATGAAGTCAACTGGTATTTAATGCTTCAAAGTAGTTTTGGGGAAATTGATGGGAGACATAGTAGATTGCTCATATCTCTTCGCTTTGAGCATGAAAGCAACTGTTGAGCCCTCAGTGAGGGCAGAATGAAAAGCTATTGTTGGTTTGGTTTTAATTGTTGGGTTTTTATTGTTGGTTGTATTTGTGTTCCATTCTGTCACAAAGACTTCCTATGCAGAGCTAGCTCTTTGTACGGAAATACTGCAGCTTTTTTTTTTTTTTTATGTGAAGTAATTTAGCTTTAACAGTAATGTAAAAAAGGAATAACAAGCGTATTTCTCTGCTCTTACTCTCTTTAGGCTCCAAATGCAGATTACATTAAAAATGTGTTTTGGAGAACACCTGTCTGAGTCTATATATCTGTTTCCTTTAGCGTTACTGCAATACTGGTTGGTAAGCCACTTTTTCTGTTGAGTATAAATACTTAAATGTGAATGCTGCGGCTTTAGACTTTGATCTTCATGACATTAAGAATTGTACTTTAAACAAAAAGTCATGTTTCATTCTCTTCCTTTCTGTGAAATAGTGGTCCAGCCAAGCCTTTACATTCTGGTAGCAGATAATCATAAAGAAAAGGCTAAACTGGATGATACAGGAGACATTATTTTCCCAATTTCTAGAAAAGGCAGTTAGCCGTGCTATGAACTCTGTGAAAACATAGTAGTTGTGGTTTATAGCATAAAAGTAGTTAGCAAGACCTTGTAAGAAGTAAGCAACAGAAACTTTTTCAAGAAAGTTGTACAAATTATTTTTTTCCTTAAAGTTTTCGAAGTCTCTTCCCTATTGCATGGACAATTAAAAAAATTAGAGGAATAGAATACTCCAAGGATGAGAGAAGTATGAGAAGATCCTTACTAAAGGCAGCTAGAGAATGGAAGACTTTGAAGAACACTGCTATTGTACTCTCAAAATATAGTTAGGCACAGTAGCCATAGTCCTATACTTAAAGGCAGCGTACACTTCAGAGAGCTGAAATTTTAGCTTTAGGCCTAATCAGTAACAAACAGCCTCAAATAAGGTAAGGTTCTGAATGAGGAAAACTGGTCCAGAGTGTTCACTGTAAGATAATTGTCACACAGATGGCCTTAATGAATTGACTATAGATTCTCTTAATTAGGAAAGGGAAGAACCAGAAAGGATCATTTACATCGTTATTCATCCCTCTGCAGTTGCAGATGATGAAAGATGTTTTCATCCAGAAGTGTCTGCTGGTTACCTAAGCTGTATACCCATGCAGAAGTGCTCCTTGGGAGTAGCAAATGCTGGCTGTCAGTTGACGTACAAAGTAGTGCAGGAGGGGGACAAAAGCGGCCAAGCATATTTGATGTTACTCTGGCAAAGGCAATATATTTGCTCATTTCCCACATAATATTCAGAGGGCCATATGCTATCCACAGTGGAAAGCAGAAAGCCCTTTCCCCTCCCACT